GTCGGGATTTGCCCCGCTGTCAGTCCTCACCCGGGGTCCTGGGAAGGAGAGAGTGAAAGAAAGAGAGAAAAAATGAAGAAAGAGAGAAAGTTCTTAATCCATGAATTAGTTTTTTCAACAAAATTCAAGTCTCTTCATCAAAGACTGAACCTTTGATCCTGCAGGAGACGTCGACCGACTGCTGCTCAGGCAGGACACAGATTCATTGGCATTATTTTAAAACTGTTTTGTTAATAAACGTAAAACGATTTTTACATCATGACTGATGTGGAAGCAGCTGAAAAACAATGAAATAAACACACACACACACACAACCACACACACACACACACACACACACACACATACTTATGTATGCAGTATATATAATCCCAGAGGTCCTTGACCTTGACCTTTCATACTAACAGACAAAAACAGAATTACAGACCCATGAACATGAAAGGGTCTTAGATTTGTACTATGTTTTCTTCTATGTGTGTGTGTGTGTGTGTATGAGAACGAGAGAGAGAGAGAGCGAGAGAGAGAGAGAGAGATCTTGAGTGCATGCCTACAGCTCGGGCGTATAAAACGTTGCTCAGCTAAAAATAAATAAAATGCTCCAGAGAGAGGCGAAAAGCATTGTGCGCTGTGAGTCACGACCAGGAGGTGACGATGCCCTCCCCCCTCCAAACACACACACACAGACACACACACAGACACACACACACACACCATCACAGTTCTGTCGGTGTCAGTCCGGTTCTTAACGCAGCAACATGAAGAAACTTTTAAAAGAAAAAGATTCTGGTTCTGGTTCTGGTTCTGTCGACAACACCTGTAGCCCAGTCTGATGACATCACACAGTCTGTACAGGACCGCACACACACACACACACACACACACACACACGGAGAACCACAGGTGAACTACACCGCCTTCATTCTGCTGAGTCGTTTTTACGTTATTGACACGTCACCGATGGAACGTTACAACGTCGACAGAGTTTAACACGAACAGACAACTTCTGGTCAGGTGTCAGGTGTCAGGTGACGTTGGTGTTTTTATAGCTATAGGTCTGAAGTGATAAAAAAGAAAAATTATGTCTTTTGTCTTAGAAATGTTAATGAGTGAAAGAGAAAAAAAAGACACTTGGGTTTTATTACGCTTTAAAGATGTTTTTGCTTTTAATTCTATTAGAAAGTGATGAAAAAAGAAAAAAAAATGTTAGTCACAGCGTAACTAAAACCTGCACATTTTACTTAAAATGATGTCTTTTGTCTTAGAAATGTTAATGAGTGAAAGAGGAAAAAAAGACACTGGGGTTTTATCACGCTTTAAAGATGTTTTTGCTCTTAATTCTATTAGAATCTATTTGTAATAGACACAAAGATGTTTTTGCTTTTAATTCTATTAGAATCTATTTGTAATATGTTTGAATAATAACATTTAAATAAGTGATATTCTATATCGTCACTGACGAGGAGAGAGATTTGACATCGCTCAAACACCAAACACTTTTAGGAACACTTCAGATTTGGACCTGCTCTTTAAACTTCATAAAGTCACGAGTGTTTAGAAGAATTATTCTGTGGTTGAGTGGTGTCAGGATGAACTGAGGAGGAGCTACGACATAACGTGGATAAGAGGTGTTGACCAGAGCGTAGAAAGAAGTGTATGAGTGGGGATGTGTTAGAACACTGAGGCCTGTATGGTGGACAGGGTGGTGCTGTTGACAACACAGTTTAGCTAAAGCTAAACCTGAGTTTAGATGCTGACATTTTTGTTAGGTGTGAGCAGGAAGGACAGAAATGTAAATGGAAACCAGCAGAGAAGAAACTGAGGCTGGAAAATTTGAAGACAAAGTCAACGAAGCAGAGTTAGGAAGGTGAAGAAGGTTGGAGGTATTTAAGAGTAATCAAAGATACGGAGAAGAAGGACACGAGGATGGGGTCGACAAGGAAGATATCAGAGAAGAAGAAAATGAAGACCAAGGAAAGAGTACTGAGGTAACGGAGAAGAAGGACACGAGGATGGGGGTCGACAAGGAAGATATCGGAGAAGAAGAAAATGAAGACCAAGGAAAAAGACAAGGGAAAGAAATGAAAAATAAAGTGGTGAAAAAAAAAGATCTAAAAGAAAATAAAAAGCAGAAAGAAAGAAGAAATAGGGAAAAAAATGAAAGTTTAGATGTTTCAGAAGAAGCAGAAATGGAATATGAAGAAGTGGAAAAAGAAGTTCAATGTCTGTTGTTAACAGTGATATTTAAAGCATGGTTCACATGTTTCCCCATGTGTTGTTTTCACCTTTGAAAAGTCTTCATACATCGTTACGTCCAGAAAAAAAATAAAATCTTGAATTGACCAGACAGCAGTTGTTTCTACAGCAGATACACAGCAGCACAGAACAGTCCAGAACAATGAAAGTTAACGGTGAAGTTTACAGTTAGTGACCGGTTAATTATTTCAAGTGTAACAGGAACAATAGTGACTGTGCAGTTGAGCTCTGAGAAAACTCTCAAACACACAGGAATCTCTCCTTCACTCAGTTCAGTCAAGTTGCCTTACATCCTTCAGGTCACTGACTGTCCCTAAGCCACTGTGTCCCTGGACACATGAGGGACACCTAATTCCCTGCTGCTCCCGATGGCTTCACCATCAGTGACGTGGAGCTGGAGACAGAAATGTTCTCTGGTCTCTGGACTCTGACGATGACACACGTCTGCAACACGTTTTGTTTTGTTTTTATATTTAAGCGTTGGGCTGAGTCAGGTATTTATCAGGGTTTTTTTTTAACTTTCTAAAAAAATATATTTTTAATCAAATAGAAACCTTTTAAATAATGACAGATTTTGTTTCCACTTCATCTGATTTTTTTTTCTTTCTCAAACTTTGTAGAAGAACTTGATTTCAGTGGTTTGACCAGACAAAGGAGCAGGTTGTGTGACCTGGTGTTCTGTCTTTTACAAATATGGAAAAACAATTTATAGAATTGTTTAGATTTATATATATACAGTATATATATAAATGGGGGAAATGTGCAGATTTGGTTTTGTAGTTTTTGTGGATAATATTCGTTCTGTCGATGAGTTGTATGTAACATCCTGCAATAAGTTTGAACTTCATGGTCATAAATGGCATTATGTGCTAAAGTTAGGGTACGGGTCGCAATTTGGTCCATTTTCTGTCCTCTTTAAATTGAACACACACACAGAGTCCCTGAACAGACACAAACAATCTCTACTGATCCCACAACATG